TTGAACCATTCGGTAGCGACTGTCACTGTGACTGTGGCCGCAAACAAATATAGAGCCAATTTGATCCAAACACTTTGAAATCGAACGTATGAATCTGAGAAAAAGGCAAATAGAAGAAAAAAAGCGACCGTATTCCGTGTCGCCGATGAGTATTCAGTAGTCATGAATGCTGGTATGAAGATAGTAAGAATAAGTTCTAAGCGAGACATGAAATGAAACAGATGCGTATTGTCGACGACAATATTCGATTCTAGATTCTTGAAAACTCGACAATATAGGAGACCAATCGTAAAATAAGTCTCAATTATAAAAAAGCCAACATAAATAAAAATTTTCAGTTTTTCACGTTCCTTGATATAGAAGATCAAGTAGCCTAATGTAGCCGCTTCGGTTATGACCCATAGAAGAATATGATAGATGGCCAACAAACGTCGAGATCGAATGGGGGCACAATATTGTAGATAGGAGAAGATGATGATAATCGTCGACAATAATCCTATGTAGGTACGTCCTACAGGATGACTCGCATAGTGATACCACGCATCGAAGACGTAGGAACCAGCGGAGAAGAACGGAAGAACAACCATTGCATATAGGAAGAATCGATCGCGTCCATCTTCTGGTTCGTGTAAATCAAAAATACCCATTATCAAGGAATGCTTCACAACGAGCTTCACAAATGTATACCTTAGCAATGATTACCGATGGTGAATTCGTCACAGATTTGAGTGCTGTCGTTTAAATTTATTCGGCAAGTAAATATCTTTTTCACACTAGCACAACGAAAATCATAAGTGCATGGCTTTCGTTAGATGCTTTTACAACGCCACCAATACTCATACTCAGAAAAGAGGACCAGAAGAAAAATTTAGTCAACATCGCTCAAGTGCGTAAAACAATAACTCTTACTCATGGAAACAATGCTAAAGAGTATGAGAAACCCGTGTTACACGTAGTGACATAGTTGACGAGTGAGTGAGATCGCTTCAGTGCATCCCAGAAACCCTTTGCTTTATGCTACTATCGGAGCCGAGATGTGGGTTGAGATAGGCTAACCTCGACTGAACATCGCCCAGTCTGAAAACTAGTTCTGCAACAGATGCTGACATATGGGGTCGTAAGCTGCAGCATCGCGCAAGGCTTTTTCTCATGAACTGTATACCGCACAGCGCACAATAGAAAACCTACAATAGTAGCTTCCGTGCTGAATATTCTTTTAGCTCGAACAATCCCAATGGCGTACAATTGTGTAATGCTGTATGACATTGTTTTGAGTAAAATTTGACAGATACCTTGATCTTCACCTTACAAAGGAGTCATTCAAGTAGGACGCAAAACCTTTTAGAGAGGTTGAAAATTAGGAAATTTTAAGCCGTAATTTTGCAAGGAAGGAATGGGTAATCCAACAACCTTAGCATTCATTGAAAATCGGTGTCTTCATGATGCACCTTCACCGAGATCGCCTTTATCAACAACGTAGTCTATTTAGTTGACGTAGAATATCAATATTTCCTTTCAAAATCTAACTGCGTAGAAGAGACCTACGCACTACAATCTTCGATTTCTATTCTGCTCCGTGTTTTAGCGTGTGAATGTGAGTGTGCCCTAAAAAACACTAGGAAAATAATAAACGGAAAAATCGTTTCTACTCTATATGATGAATAAAATAAAAGGTTTTTCCTTTTATGATTTGGAAAAGGCGCTTATTAAGTATCTCAAAAACGGAAAAAAAAGGTGTATGTCTAGTTGTCAACTCATAAATACTTTTTTCAAGTGCGAGCTGCGGGTGCGAATGTGAAGTCGATTCCCACCTTCGTTAATCTGCATAAACCACACTCGTATTCGACTGAAAAAAGCACGTACCACTGCTATCGCATGAAGACTGTAGCTAATTCCCATAGCAGAAGCTCGAACAGTCAATCATGACTGATTTGCATAAAAAGAGCTGGCCAATTTTGCAAGCAGGATGCTATCAAATTTCTTTTGAGATTCACATGCGTTACGTGAGTAGAAAACAATGTATCGTCATTTCTTTGCATTCCTAGGTAATAGGCATTGCACGAAAGAGACGAGTGAAATGTGGACCATATACTCAACCGATGCCACAGATTTTAATCAAACTCTGCATATGTGTAGCCCTGAATGAACTGTGAAAATGCCTATTTTTTTTTCTTCTAAAAATCATGATAACCAATGCAATACTCATTCATTGTATATTTCGCCATTTTTCAACAATAATGTTTTAGCCAGGAAATCTTGTGGATAGATGCTAGTGTAGCTACTCGGCATACTGGTATATTCAAACCACTTTTCAGTATGTTAAACAGTACAGAAGTATTACATAGGTCTTAGATATACTCTCTACTTGATGACCAAGATTTCTATCGTGTATGAATGACCTATGAGTTCTCGATTCAGAAACTAAGCACTATTGACTCCTAGCTATTAGGAATAATTTTTCAAAATTTTGAACTTTTGCTTTTAACGTGGACAAGGCNATATCGACACTCACACACCTAAACACCCACACACCCACACCCACACCCACACCCACCCACACCCACACACCCACACCCACACCCACACCCACACCCACACCCACCCTTTACAATTGGAAATACGTTTTCTTTCGTTCTTTTCGTAATAGTGTACAGATGACAATAGATGTTTACACAATGTTCGGTAGGAATTTCCAAAGAATTTCATATTCATAATAATAGCAGAAGTTCGAGTTGTTGTAAAAACTGAAAAAAAACAACGAGTTTCTTTTCTTGATTGGGTTCGATGAAAATCTCAATTTTAGATTTCGAAATCTGTGGAAACTGTCGAGTTATTTTATATTGATCAAGTGGTTTTTACGTAAGTGATAGTTATAATCAAATACTAATATTTCATGTGTATTGCTTGGAATTAACAATAAACAACATGATGATTCATTATAATAGTTTAATAGATTTAAGACAGCTCTATATACTTACTAAAGTTGAGAATTATTACAACCCTTTTTTTTAATAGGAACTAATCCATCCTGAAATATACAACTACCAATCGAATCTTATTTTTCAATTTTCTCAATAGATGATCTAGGATTTTTTCACGATAGACTATCGGATATGAGTATGAATTTTCTTTTGATTTACAATCGTTACCATACAAGACATTTACGTCCATTTTTTTCTATGTATTATTTCTACCGTGTAAGTCTCTTAAGTAATGCATATTGACTCAAGAAAGAAAAAGAAAGGAAGAGAAGAATGATGGAGTCAAAAACAAAACAAATGAAACGACAAGAGCGACTCGATAGCATTCTTTACCATTACATGTGTTTAGCTACATATTTCTAAATTAGAAAAAATATGTAGTTACACAGCTGTAAGAATTTGTTTAGACTTTTAGCATAGCACGTAACATACTTTATGAACCCAACCCGCGTTGAAGAATATAACTATTATGATAGTTAACGTCCATCATCACTACTTCCGACTTTCCTTCCTGAAAATCAAGAGTTGCAGAATATAAAGTAACAGATTTCATATGAGCGATTGATTAGTGTGACTCTAACAACCTTTTCATAATCAAGTAATACCTATATAATGCACTGACAAACGATAAGTACGGAAATAGTGAAAGTAATGAGATGTTTTTGAGATATTTCAACAGTGTATTTGTTTGTTTGAACTTACATAAGAGCTTCTACCTGAAAAAAATGCTTAGAATGTCATTCATATCACCTATATTCCGGCTTGTCCACATCACTCCGCAACAGTGTTACATCTTTGAAAGGACAACTTGTAGAGAGATGAGCAACATCTTAAATAAAAGAGAAAGTTTTTTTTTTGAAGATTTCGAGATCTGCCTGAGCTATCTTGAGAGTAGGTGTGGGCATCTTCTAGCGACCTGCGCGAAGACAAGAACCATACCAATATGTAATTGTACATCAGCATTTACTTCTCTGTCCTACGGATATTTTTATGTTGAATTTTCTGATGTTCTATTAAATTGTCTTTCTTTTTTAATTAAATTACATCTGATGAATAGTAAAAACAATACTCTAATCGTTTGTGAAAATGTTCGTCGATGCAATTAAAATAACATGTAAATTCGGTCCAGATTGTACTAGAAGAGATGATCCATCTCACATGAACAAATATGCTCATTCGGACGACGAAGAGTCTGACGATGATGATGAACTCGCTCATGCAGATATGCGAATACTATGCAAATTTGGAACGAACTGTAATAGAAGAGGTGACCCATATCACATGGAACAGTATTTTCATCCAAAAGACCTAGATGACTGTGACAAAAACGACTTACCAAAACATGAAATCCAACCTCCCTGTAGATATGGTGCAAATTGTTATAGAAAAAGACCATCGCATTTTAAAAAGTATTCTCATCCACCCAGCGTTGTTCAATCAAACCCGGTGGATAATATTTTAGCGAATGAACATAATACACTTTCGTATTGGGGCAAAAATCCATTTTCACGATCTTATCTCGAAATAAATGTCAACCATCATTCAAGTGAATTCAAGACCATTAATGACTTATTAAATATCACAATTGGACAGCATGGTAATAAATGGGGGACAATCCATGGAAGGGATCCAGTAAACTTTATAGTCACAAAAATGACTCGAATTCATAATAAAGACCTTTGGGAAGAATATTGTTTCAAAAAGGTAAGCACAATAGTCATATTTATTTACCTAAAACAAAAACTAAGGATTACGTTAGCTTTGTAAAATCTTTTCTACGTTACAGACAATTTTTTAGAAAATAAATCTAATTGAGTCATTAATAAAGAATGCCATTTTTCAATAATAAATTATGAAACCAAATAAATGTTTCTCTTATAAAACTGTATTAAAAATAGATTTTATGAGAACACTAAACACACACACCAATTACCAATTCCGTTCATGTTAAATTTAAGTTAATGTTATTTCAATTTTTATTTTAAGAAACGGATTATAGATAGGAATAAAAACAGATTAATGGACTCGGAAAATTCAAGATACTTACAAAATTATCCATTGTTGGTACCATTATTAGATGCAAGAACAAATGAATATTGGCTCTTTCATGGTTCTGATTCTAAAACACATGAAGTTTTATTAAACAAGGGTTATGATCCTCGAGTGTCAAATGTAGGGGGAATGTTTGGAGGTGGATTTTATTTGGCAGAAAACTCAAGTAAATCCAATCAATATATTCCATGTCCTGGTTGTCATGAAAATTATATATCTCATCAACCTTATTGTAAATGTAAAAATCAAGAGGATTTCCTGTATTCAATTATTCTCTATCGAACATTATTAGGAGATGTGCATATAGTAAAAGAATATAAAAGCGAAATTCACCGTGGAGTAGATGCAAATCATCCTGTGCGTCGACCACCACAAAAAAAGCATTCACAGGAATTGTATGACAGCGTGATGGGAGAATCTAGAAAATATGGTGGTGATGTATTAAATTATCGTGAATTTGTCGTATATGATACTGGTCAAGCATATCCAGAATATGTGATACAATTTAAGAGATCAGCAAAAAAGACTGTGCCACGATTTGATATGAAATGTGTGATGGATAGTTGTCACTCTCTTCTTACAAGTTATTCAAATTAAAATTTCACTCATGTGATTGCTATTAAAGTTTCCCAAAACATTTATGGTCTACACATACGGATTAAACTAAGATTTTATCAAATAAGGGTGTGTGGGTGGGTATGGATGGAGTGTGGGTGTGGATGGGTGTGCGTGGTGTGGATATGGGTGTGTGGGTGTTGGTGTGGGTGGCTGGCTGGCTGGCTGGGGTGTGGATGTGCGTGTGATGTGTGGGTGGGTGGTGTGGGTGTGCGTGTGATATGTGGGTGGGTGGATGATGTGTGTGTGGATGTGGTTGAAAACGAGACCCACATCCACACCCACACCCTCTACGTGACTGTCATGTTGACTTTTTCTAATGAAAGGTATTGTATATGCAGCTAAATTTACACGTAAAGGTGTAACTCAGGCGAAAATCGATTACTGCATCGCTCTTTATTTATTCTCTGGAGATTAGTTTATATACATCATATATCGAAAGAATATACTGGTATAAATCGAGGTGAAAGAATAATTTTTCTATTCGACATCGCATGAAAAATAGTCTTGGATAAAGGATGCAAAATAAGATTAGATCCTCTCGAACAATATTCTTTTCTGATATGTTTCAAATGTAGAAGGAGTTGAGTTTTACAGTACACATACGAGATATTCTCTCCTCTTTTGTTCTCTTGTTCCAAATGCATATTTTAACTAAAAGATTCAGAGCGAAATTCTCTACACATCCATATATGATTTGGCTAAATCTCTGAACATTTTCNATCTTTGCATTCAAGGGTGCAACTGTTTTCGCAAGCATGTTTTCTGGTCAGTATACACCTGTCTAATTGAAAAAAAACTGTTTGCAAATACCCATACACCCACCCTAAAAAAAAACTTTTTGGCTAAGAAAATGATTTCTTAGTGGAGCAATAATTTTTTTGATAAAAAAAAATTTGTAAAAGAAATTTCTTGCAAGAAAAATTAAACTCAAAATTTCAAATAACCGATTGAACATTCGGATTCCTTGGCCTCGTTTACCTATGGTTCCAATTCATTAGTGAAATACAAGTCAAATTCAGTCAAACCCAAACCCACATTCAGTCGAATCTTATGTTTGGATTTGATGCACGTCTAATCATAATGTTAATATGCACTTTTAAAGCACAAGCTGTGCTCTATCCAGCAATGAAGAAATTCGGCTTCTAGCACTTTCTGTTCGAACATAATAGGCTATGACATTTGTACAGATACTTATGCATCGTAGGTTATGTGGATTATCTGTAAGAGTTTCTGTATTTTTAATTACTAAATTTTGTCTATATATAACATGACTCATATTCAACTACTAGAAAGAAATCTTTGTTAAGATACCAATTGAGTTTTGTTGTAATCATCAGTTGATATTATTATTCAAGATAGCTATTTTTAAAGAATTTCATATTTATTTTTAGCTTATTGTTTGGATACAGTGGTACCTCGTCTTGTTAAATATATTGATATGTTAACCAATTGGTATGTCAAATTGAATAAGAAACGTTTTAAGGTAAAAAGATATATCTTGTCTTTATAGTCGTACAAGTCATTTTCTATTTAATCAAAAAGAAATTATGTTTTAATTTTCATAAATATTAAATTAATTTTGATTTTCTTTGTTTTTGTTCTTTGTGTTTTTGAATAAAAATGATAGAATTCAAGGCTTGTTTTTTAGGGTGAAACAACATTAGAAGATTGTCTTGTTTTATTAAATGTTCTTTGTTATATCCTTTTAACAATGGCTAAATTAATGGTACCATTTACATCATTTCTTGCTCAATATATGTATCAAATCTTAAGGAAATTAATGCCACCAAAATCATCATCATCATCTTCTGAACAAGAATTATGTGTTCACTTTCAAATGATTCCAAAATCATAGTTCGTTCTTTTATTTTATTTTCTTTGTAAGAAGATCTAAAACTTTACTCTTAGTCATTAATTAGTAAATAAAAATATTGAACATGCTGCATCTGCTGTACATACAGTAATTAGATTAGGCCGAGCTGTATGAGAAGGAAAACTTGTTCCAATGAAAGTAAATTTAATTAAAGTAATTAAAAATATCAATATTAAGCATGACATTATTTGTTTAATATCTATTAATAGAATTTATTGTTATACATAAAGATCGATTCATATCAAAAGATGTTGAATCATTAAAAGATTTTGTTCGAGAAGTATGTGTTTTTTAATCTTCTTTTTTATATTGGTAGCGACTTTTAAAGTAAAGAATTTAAAGACACGTAAAGTAACATTATCTCAAGATCGTAAACTTTATGGTGTTGAAATGCGCGTTGAACCAAATTATCCAATATTAGGCAAAAAAGCTAGTGGTAACAATATCTATTTTGTTTGATTTTTTTAATATTTATTTGAAAAATGAATATATAAATAGCTAAAGTTAAATCAATAATTCAACAAATTCGTGACATGACTGATGAAGATATTGAAAAATTGTTATCGAAAGATCAAAATGAAGATCCATTAACAACAATTGATAATGTTCTTATTGAATCGGAAGGTATTCATATTGTTTATCGTGTTGCCAAATGAACACAATATAAAGCTGTTACTAAGCAACGAATACGAGTTTTTTTCATTTTTCTTAGATTTTTATATTATGTTTTCCTATGAATAGTTTGTTGTTTTACTTGATTATACGGCTGATGCATCACTGAGAGATTAAAGTCTTATTCATGAAATTACATGTCGAGTTCAATATAACTGCGAAAAGAGATTTTTATTTTATTTTGATTATTGATTTAAGTTGATATTTAGTTTCCTTTTTTTAAAAGCTAAATTAATTCCAATCTATGATATAACAATTTATTATTCAGTAGAAACACAAACAAGTGAAATTGCTCGTATTGCTTCTGAATAACGAAATGAAATTGAAGTAATTCTTAAAAAACCTTTTCGTTCTATTGAGTCATTTAGCTAATAAAGAAAATAGCAATGTGGTTATAACGAAAAAGGCTTCCTGTAAGTTTTATTCGATTCTTTATGGAAATAAATTTTTTTATTTTTTTATTAGTTGAAAAATGATGAAATCGACTTTATCATTTGCTCGAAATACATAATCAAAAATTAAATAAAAAGAGGAGTTAAAAGAATTTATTTGTAATTGATCTTTTGTTTTGATTTTTATTAACTATTGAAACATTTATTATTGTTTGTTATCTGCTTTTGTGGTTGATATTGTTAACATTCGATCATCATAACATTTTTCATTAAAGAAATAAGAATCACTAAATCATTATCTAAGCAATTTTTTATTCATCTGCAAATGAAAATTTCTAGATTTGAAAAAACTAAGATTATAATTGAGTATAGTTGATGTCCTATCTCTATGGAGAAGTAAAAAAAAACATTTTTTTATGGAAATATAGCTTGTGGTAACTTAAAGGAATTTAGCTATGTCATTATGATATTTTAGTAAACAATGAATTGTGTCACTCAAATTCATATTGATTGCAGAGTTATTTTCTACCGTATTATTAATTTATGATTATTTTCGTTCGCTTCTTTCTTTTAATGAAACAATATGTATTGAAAGAAAATTAGGAGCATGATATTCATGAAGTATGAAACTATGAAACACAATGTTACTTTAAAAAAAACAATATTTTATAAAGAAAAGTCATCCATGATGTTCTTAGATTTTACATTAACTAATACTATATTAATTAGAATTTCGTAAATGCCCTATTGCACGCAATCTGTTGAAAATCTTATTTATGAAGACTAAATATCAAGATTCAAGTTAATGCTACTACATCTAATTACATGTTTATCTTTGAATCAGATATAAGCATCCGTACTGCCGGTTGACGAACACAATTACCAGATTATGTTAAAAACTAAGACAATGTAGAAAATTTGTTTCTGATTACAGTCCGTATAAAAGAAATGAAAAAAAAATCTAGCATTCTTCTAAAATAAGTTTCTCCATAGATTTTAATCCTATTGATCATCGGACGTTTTTGTAGTCGACTTCACTTTTTTGCTTTAGGCTTTTTCAGAATTATAGTTTCATGATATTCTTTCAAACTATTCTAGAATATAAAAAATTTCATCTTTGTTTTTTATTATTTGACTAAAAATGAAAACTTTCTTAGTGAGTCATCAACATAAACATCAAGTCCAACAATGTCAGTATAATTATCACCAAGAGAGTCTATTGATAGGATTGAAGCACTTTAATTCAGTCAATAAGATGTGGAACAGAGACCGTCATCAGGTCAGGACATCAGGTCTCCCCTGACGCCCTGCCATACAGGGTAAAGATTCTTGTTTTGCCCTGTCCTGCTTGCCCTTCAGGACGACCATAACAGGGCAGGACAGGGCAAATTATTTTGTCCTGGTAAATTATATACTATCAAGTCATATACTTTCTAAAGAAAATTTTCAATCTTTTGTACAGTTACATGAGACTTCATCATAAGCTAACCATGCTTCTATTTGGTCCACTATACATATTAGCGATAACTTTTATCCTTGGTTACCGATTATCATTTGTTTCATTCATATACTCAATGTTTTTCATTGTATATCTATTAATATTGACTGATTGATAGTATATTTTTGATTGAGTATGCTATTATAGTATCTTGTAGCATGCTTTTTTTGAAATGATTTAAATAAAGTAGCAATAGTGAAAAGAAGAATAATCTTTGAAATTTCCTCAGGTTCTGTACTGTTTTTCGGATATAGAATAAATCAGAAACTCTTCAGGACGCCCTGTTAGACCCTACCCTGAGGAAAGGACAGAACAAAGAAAAACTTCATGTGCTATTGTCGGGACAGGACAGAAAAAAAGTGTCCTGTGACGATCTCTAGTGTGAAAGTGAACGAGTACGCAGAGAATATTTACATTCAAACTCACACTTTCAAAATGCAGGGTTTTACACAAAATACTGTAGCATATCTCATATTCCAGCAAATCAGTTTCTGAAAAATTCTCTGTAATTTTTTTCGATTTTGTTATTTTCACAGTTGTAAAATGAAGTAGGTGTTAATCTCTCTAAATCTGCTCTGACATGAAAGATTTATTCGAAAAACAAAGTCAACAGTTTTGTATAAAATTAAATCTGTTATATACTGACAAAAAAACAAAAAATTGATAATAATTGTTAAATGCTTCGAAAGATAGAAAATAAAATTGAGACATTTATTATGAGGAATCCGTTATTTTTATCGCTTACGGAAAAACTTTAGAGTTTTCCAAATAAATCTTTAATTGAATTTTCTAGTGAACGAAATTTATTATGAACATTTTGCTGTTTAGAAGAAATTTTTATTTTAACGGAAGATTCTACATTCATGGTACCAATGTAGATTTTCTTAACTAACGTCTATAATTAATTTCGATGATACACGCCATAATCAATAAAATAATGACATTTTATGATTCAGCAAATACTATTGTTTAGTGACATTTTATGAATTTATCAGATGTTTTTTTGTTTTTTTTTGTTGAGAGGGAACAAAGACCTATTGCAGCACAAAGACTTACTGTTCTCAGATGTTTAAATACACGCCAACCTGCCTATTCCACTTATCATTAACATTTTCCATTTTCCTATCGCTTATTTTTTTTCAAAAACTATTTCGATGGGTTTCTTAATGGTAGGTTCGTGTGAATAGGTAGTATGATACTGGTAGATTGTGGCGAAAATGTCAATTAGCTTAGATAGACAATTCTAAATTCTATTCAATTCTAGATAGACCTATAAACTTTTTCATTGTTGACGCTAACCCCATATATTTGACTGCGATCAAATTGCGACGCAGTTACGCGCAACTGCGACACAGTTGTTAAAACAGTGGCGACATGGGACATTAGTAATACCAACATGGACAATCAGGCAATGATGAACGATGAAGAAGCAAGTTTTTGAAAATTTCTCGTTCTCAAACTCTAAGATTTATTATTTATTTTATAGATTATCAATGTCGAAACAATACAACAACAAGAACAGCAACAACATACATACAATTCCATCGACAGCATCTATCAAGGATATATCAATATCTTACTCTATCAAATTGATTTTTTAAATCGATATATTATTGAACAATATCATTTATTCAATAATCAATTACAAGAACTCGACAAATATTCATTTATGAATTAGAACAACAACGGCAAGCATTCAATCGTGAATTAGAACGACAACAAGAGATGTTCAACAATGAAATAGTTAAATTATTAATTGATAATATGCTTGATAAAATAAATGAATGAATTCTTGTTCTTATCCCATGTCGCCTCTTTTTTGCCAACTGCGTCGCAGTTTTTCGCAATTACGGGCCACAGTGCGATCGCAATTTGATCATAATGAAACATATGGGATTTCAATATTATTATTACTGTTGTTTAAAAACTTTCTTTTTGGTATACGAATGTTACTTACGTACAACGATTGAAATTTTTTCTTACTCAAAAAATTTTTTTCTTTGTCAAATATTTGCTTGTGCAATGGATCGAAATTCTTTTTTCAAAAACACATTTTTTTCTTGTTGCATAGATATTTTTTTTGTGCAATAACTATCAATTTTCTTGGTTAAATATGTTTTTGATCCTCAACTATCTTTTGTACAATGGATAAAAAAATGTTTTTCTTGTTCTACATGTATTTTCTTCTACACTCATTCTAAATTTTCTTTCTTAAACAATTTTTTTTTGTCACAAAATTATTTTCTGTAATATGATTATACATTCTCTTGCTCAAAATAAGTTTTTCTTACTTCATAAATAGAAAAGATACGAAAATAATTAAAAAAAAAGAATACTGTTAATCGTATGGGTCGATGGATTGATTTTCGACGAGACTATAAAAGAATGTATCCATGGTTTATGAAATCAGTTTGGTGTATTTTTAAACAATTATATGAAAAAGGTTTTGTTTACCGAGGTTTTAAAGTATGAATAAAGAAATTGTTTAACATTTTAAAATAAAAATCATATTCTTAAGGTAATGCCTTACCCAATAGGTTGTTGTACTCCACTATCAAATTTTGAAGTTGGTCAAAATTATATAGATGTTGATGATTCAGCTGTTCGGGTATCATTTCCACTTGTTGATGAACCAACAGTTAAACTTGTTGCTTTAAGAACAACACCATAGACATTACCAACAAATCTTGCGCTTTGTGTTAATGCAAATTCAATCTATGACAAAATTCTTGATTTGTTTATATGAGAAAATTCTTTAAAACATTAACTTTTTTTGCATTATTTAGATAAAATAAAGAATGAAGTCTTTATTTTAATGGAAAAACGTGTATCTAAACTTTATAAAAAACCTAATAGTTATCAAGTATTAAAAAGGTGAGTCAAACGAAAATCCATATTTGCTTTTCTGTTAATTTATCAAATTTAACTGCTTTTATTGTTTCAAAGGATTTCATTTGAAATGAATGCATTATACATCATTACTTCCTTATTTTGCTAATGTAAGATTGGTTTGTTTTATAATAATTTTCAAAAGAATTTTTTAAATCAAATACATCAAAATGGCATTTTACGTATTATGTGATGATTATATTTGTTGGAGAAGATGATTATCGTGTTTGTCTTGCAAATGGTGTTATTAATAAAGATACAGGATCTGTTGTTTGTCCAATTGATGCTCAATGTCGCTTTACTGATGAAATTAAAGATTTTCAAGGACAAGATGTAAAATATGCTGATAAAACTATTATAAAAAATTTAAAAGAAAGTAAAAGACTTGTTCATCAATCAGTTATGAAACACTCGTATCCATTTTGTTGGAAAATTGATACATTATTAATTTATCGTGCTATTCCATCTTGGTTATTTGTGTTGAAGAAAGAATTGATCGAGTAGTAGCGAATACTAGTAAAACACACTGTTAATGAAAGAAAAAGAAATTTTCATCTATTTATAATCTATATTTTTGAGAATACCTGATTCCATTAAAGAAAAACGTTTTGCTAATTGACTTTGTGATGCACTTGACGGGGCTATTTCACGAAATCGTTATTGGAGAAATTCAATTCTGTTATAGGTTAATGATGATGGATATAAAATTGTTTGTGTTGGTTCAATTGAAGCATTAAAACAATTATCTGGAGTTTCTGTTGATGATATACATCGTAAAATGTAAAATTAAAAAAATTTTTTTTTGTGAATTTATTAAATTAACTTTTTATTTTAGTGTTGATGAAATAACACTTCCATCACGATTAGGTAAAGATTTATTACTTCGAGTATCCGAAGTATTTGAGTGTTGGTTTGAATCTGGTTCAGAGCTTTATGCACTAGTTCAGTATCCATTTGATGGACATCGAACATTTATAGATATATTTCCAGCTGATTTTATTGCTGAAGGTATTGATCAAACACGTGGATGGTTTTTATACATCATTATAGTTATGTTAACGGCTTTATTTGATCAACTACCATTCAATTGTTAATAGATTTGTTTTAGCAAGTTATGGAGAAAAAATGTCATAAAAGGAAAAACAAATATCCTGATCCAAGAAATCTTTGAAAATAATGGAACTGTTGCATTACGGTAAATAAATTACAGTTATAGCAAAAATAAATAATATGTTTTCTCTATTTGTAGACTTGATTTAATCACATAACCTGTTGTTCGAATTGAATCACTTAAATTTAAAGAAGAAGGTGTTCGAGATATTCTTAAAGATGTTTTGTTTTACCTTGGTATAATGCCATACGTCTTCTTATTCAATCATGTGATCAATTAAAAACTCATAAAAAAGTTTATTTTATTTATGATGATAAACTTTTATATTTATCAATGTCATCAAATACAAATATTATGGATACATGGATTGTATCTTATAGACAAACATTACTTGATTTTGTTAAACAAGAAATGGACGATAAGATTTTTTTTTCTTCAATAGCAAATTAATTGTAAAAAACCTTAAACTGAGCTAATATATAGTTAAAAACAATCTAATATCTCATTTCAATGGAAAGAAACCTATTAATTAATTATTTAATATAATATATGTCATATAGGTGAATCATAGCTAATCTATGTGTAATTGGATATATTTAGAAAAATGGAAATGCTCATATCACAATAATTAACTAATATGCTAAACTATTAATAAATTTTCCCCTTATATTTTCAGCTAAGAATTCTTGAGATACTCGATGTTTCTATTTTTTTGCTTCATTTTTAATATCAAATAATCTCAAAAAAGAAAATTCTTCAAAGAAAAAAAGATATCGAATACTATATGATGATTGCTACTAAATGAGAGTTTATTTAATAAAATACCAAAAAAAAAAAAAAAGAAGAAATTAGAAGTTGATCACAAGTAACAGTAACTCTGTAAAATATTTCTTTTGGTCAATTTCATTATTTTTAAATCAAATAAAAAATTTATTCATAAGAGTTTGCAAAGTTCAAACTGTAATGATTTTCGTCTATTAATCACTATCGAATTTCAATATTAGTTATTGAAAAATGACTTCTATTCTGTTAAAGTTCTCTATAAAGATACATACATCTGACTAAGATCTTAAGATTCTTTTATTTAATCTCTTATTCGATTCAAATAAAAATAAGATAAGAGTTAATAGATCAACAAATGAAACAGATACTAATACAAGTTCTACATAGTTATTAGCGTGCATATTTATATAAATAATATCCGAAAAACTTCCTCATTCAATATACTTTTTAATAAAACTAATTGTTAACATCATTAGATCTAACTAAAGAGTAGACTCGTAATTTCGAAATACTTATTTTAAAACTTTTGTATATAATTTGTTTTCTCATTTGATGAGATATACTATGTATTTGAGTATTTGATAAATTCAAAGATAAAGTTGATGTGTATTTAATAACCTACAATGCATAAGGATCCCATACAAATATTAAAGCATATTGTGTTCGAACAGGAAGTGCTAGAAGCCTAATTTCTTCACCGATGGATATAATACAACTTGTGCTTTAAAACGCATATTGACATTATAATTGAAGATGTAGTTTACGATATCAAATCTCAAGTTTTGTTGTCAAACACTGAAATTGACTTGTTACCAAGGTGAAATTTGGAATTCTTTCATATCTTGGCTACATGTATTCGTTTGAATACTTTGAAATGGGTTGTAAGTTTTGAGCAATCATACAGCTTTCATTGGAAAAAACTGCTGACTCACATGGATGTAGTCCTTGTGAGTTCTTAACAAGTTTCTAGTTAGGTCGAAATTGGCGCCAAGGTCTATTTTGTACGTATATTATATTGTGTTATTTATGAACTTCATGCAGTGACTTTTTCTACTGTATTTTACATGTTCTTGTAGAGCTCGAAGTACTGTATATTTTACGTAGTTTTGAAAGATTGTTGTTCTTGCTCATCGTTAGAACATTCGTCAAAAGCGCAGAATCTACTGGCTGTGCTTGTGACACTGATTGATGGACACTCTGGATACATAGAAAAACCGAAAATCGATTGTCAGAAAGCTTTGAGTCCGCAGACTTCTCTTGCCAATTTTGAACTCATAATCTAAGATTTTACTCAACATAATTCAAGCTAAAACAAGAAAAAGCACGAAATAATTTACCTTGGTAACAAGTTAATTTCAGTGTTTCAAAAAGAAAACTTGACGTTTGATATCATAAACTACATCTTCAATTATAAAACTAATCAAATATTCTTATAGATTTTATTTATAAAGCACAGTCTAAGTTTTAGATGATTAATTTTTTGGCTGAATTTTCTTCATCATGATTAGTTGTTGATATTTTATTAGCAATAGAATATATTACTGTCGCATTAAATTAAGAGTTATACGCCATCAGTTAAGATCTACTTTAGAAGACAATATTTCGTTTCTATATTTTTATTAGACGACCTTTTTTTAAATTGCCGTGAAACAGACACATATAAAAAAAAGAAGAACAAACATCGACAAACAAACAACAATAAAGAATAAAGAAAAAAAAAACACGAACTTTTGTATTGTTTTTTGTGTCACTTGAAGAAAATGATAGATGATGGACAAAAAAAAAACGACGATAATAGTCAATATAAAATGCAAAGAAAACTATACATGTTGTGACAATTTGAAAGAAACACAAGTTAATCGAAGTATAGACGTACATAATACACAAAAAAAAAAGACATAGAAGAATAAAAATTAATCAAGATAACCTTTATATGAACCCTGAGATTTCACCGTAAAATTTTCTTGCGAGCATCTTTTCTTTTTCTTTAATATTATTTCTTGTTATTATTATTATTGTCGTCTTGTAGGTACTGGTGTTGTTGAATTTTTTAAATTCTCATTTGTTGTTGGATTAAGTTCAAATTCAACAAGAAGTGAAAAATGATCCGATGGAACATTTGGATGTGGACAGCCGACTATTTTATTTGTTTGAAGCCATTCAGGATCAAGTGGTCCCAATACACCGAGTACACGCATTAATTGTGTTGAATAAAAAACATAATCAATAATTCCTTTAAAATCATACCTAAAACAAACATTTTTTATTAAAATATAAAATTATAAAATGCATATATCGATCAAACAATATATAAAGAAAGAAGCTATTGGAAAATAAAATGATTAAATCAATTTCACATAGAAAAAAAAAAAACGAATATTTATTTATACGTTTCTATATCTTTGTGTGCAATGCTGTAGGTCAATCTAAGGTTCGCCCGGGTCGAACTAGAATAAATTTATTCAATTACATATTTGATTTCAAGTATAAGAATGATCTATATTATAAGTGTAGAAGTATTCAACGAGATGATGAACGAGAGCTATATATTGTGAAGCAGATGTTGGCTAATACTCGAAGAAAATGAATAAATTTGCATGCAATAATAGAATTATTAATAAACTGATAGACAACGAATGTTTTGATAGACTCATCTGCTGCACCTCATGAACTCGTTCATGTAAAATGCCTTATTTACATGAGAAATCGATGATTACTGCATCATAATTTTATGTTTGAACGGCTATTCACGCTATCTCTTGTTTAGGTAATGGAGGATGTATAACATCAACCAATATACTTAGAAAAACAATTCAGTTTTCTGCTCGACAATGTAACATAAAAACATTGTCTGTTGTTACAGAAACATCAAGGAATAAATAAACTTATTATTTATTTCGCTATTTTATGCCATTCACTTAATAAGCGTCGGAGTTGCAGTTTGAGTAACTAATCACTCTACCTTAGTATGACCTATGACATATGTAAATAAATTAGATTGTAGTGAATGCTAAGAATACAACCAAAAATAACCTAAACTTTGACTATAATTTTGTAGGCAAAATCAATTATTATCGTTTCAGAATATCTAGAAAACTGGTTTTTAGAACGACATTTTTCGGAGTTCAATCTTGCTGGAAATTTCACCACAATTGCGACTCGTACCGTTGAGTCTATCTTGAAGTTTTTGGATTTACTTCTCATATTCGCCAATTACTTTTTAATAAATAGTCAAATGAACAAGCCAACATTTTTACATATGTGTAGACTAAAAGAATTTATTCAGAAAAAGAACTCTTGTAAAATATCAAAGTCAAATGAAAGATGGGTATGTTCCTTTTTAGAGCCCATCGGGTCCGGAATCAACCTGATAGGCTTTACCCATTTTGTCTGAAATGGTTCATATAATAACTTACGTATAATTCGTATAAGGCATAATAGGTGCTGATGTTGTTTCATAAGCTGATTGTAATTTGAATTGATGTACAATATCATTACTTGGTGTTGAATTTTCATCAATACGACAATATTTTTGTAAATATGATTCATAACTAAGATCTTTAAAATCTGCATGATTCATTGAAATTTTTCCCGTACGCATTAATTCAATAACACCTTTTTTATTCAAACAAAAACAAAACTATTATTAGTAAATCACTTTGTTTTTGTTGTATTTACCTGAATCAGGTAATGAATTAAAATCTCCACAAAGAACTAATGGCACTGATGCACAATCGACTGGCATATTTGAATTTGGTCGATGTTTTTGTATAGCATCATCCATAATTGTTTTTAATTCTGATAATAACATAAATGTTTGTACAACTTTAACGTCACAATATTCTGGATCCCAATGTATATGTGCTGTACATACAAATAACATTTGTTTATGATCTGGTGGTAGAACACCTTTGAAAACGAAAGAAATATTTTTGTTTCGAAAAAAAAAAATGAATTCCATTTTTTCGTTAAATTACCATTTGAAAATGTATGAGAATAAATTTCTTCTTTTGTTTCAAGAAATGCAACAAGACCAATATTATCTTTAGTCATAACACGATTCATCATATCATGACATGCTGTACCATTTGCAGCTAACATAGCTAATTGATTAAATTCAACAAGATATTCTTTGATTAAACGAAATCTTTGAATAAATAAAATAATAATAGTAAAAGAAAAATGAAAAACTTTTTATTTTAATACTTTGATTGTCGATAAAATATAGCACAGCCATCAACAAATCGTCGATCTTGTTCACACATTGTTTTTGCTCGAGATTTAGGGCTAAATACACCATCATAACCATTTTTTTGTAATTCAGGTAAAAAGAATGAATAATATTGATCACTTTCAATTTCCTAAAAGAAAAAATCAAATTCAATAATCAAAATCAAATTTAAGAAAGAATTTTCTTATACTTTTGAATGTATAAAAACATGCCATAAGAAAAATTTTATAGATTTAAAACATAAAAAAATCACAAATCTAATGTAACTCTTATAGTAATGAGTTATTTCGTACTAGTAAATTGTGTTACAGAACAATAAGGAAATTAGTTATAATATATTGCGACGAGAGTAAATAACGAAAAAAAAACACAAATTTATTTTTGATTTCCTCATTATAAAGGGAAGAGTTTGTACAAAAAAATGACAGATCCAATAAAAATAAGTCTCAGAACTATATCTGAATATGGCTTGAGAGCGATATCTAAAGAACACTTGAAATTCGATTTCGACCGTCCATTAGGTCAATTGCCCTTATTAAATTCTTGAAGTATCTGTCAATTTTTAAATCCAAACTAAATGAGATGATATTCGAGCTTTACTTGGCTGCCAAATATTTACAAAGGACTTTTTCCTAATTGTTATTTACCATTTATAATTTGTTGTTATAAATGAAAAAGTTGCTATTCGATCAATCAGCTGATCAAGATCAGAAAATTAGTCTCAGATCAATCAATGCAAACTTCATTAATTCACGAGTGTCATGTACATATAAAATCATTTATTCAAAGACCGTGGCAGCTAACTTTAATTTTAATTACGGGTTGGTTCAAAAGAAAACAACTTATTCTCTTATGAAATGTAATTTCAACACTGATAAGATTTAGTTTTTCAATCAGTATCCTCCATAATAGGTAGAACTAGAAAAAAAACCCGCTACTATGCAGTATTGTCTTTATTATGAACACACTTCATCATAAGTGCAGACAAAGAAAAAAATTCATTCCGGAACGAAATCATCTTTGCATAGAACATTTCAATAACTACAGAAATATGTTTAAATTATTGATAAACTTTGGTTTCATAATGAGAAACAAAGCTGTCAGCACAATTCCTGCGGGATTGAAATATAAAACACGAAGTAGTTGCTCCTGCTCATCAGAGAGAGATTGTTTTATTCTATCTATTTTGGGACCTATTTTTTCACCATTCTTTTACATAATCCTCGAGACATGCAATAAGGAAGTAGTTCATATTTTATAATGTGACGTCGTTTGTATATGGTTTGCGATTGTGTATCAACAAACATTTGTCACGGTCTGTTACTAGATATGAGATCAGTTCGCTATTCTTCGGAGCCCTAAGCTGTTCTATCTCTGTTTGTGACAAAAGCAAGGATGAAGTGCTACTATGATACCTGTCACATCCTGTGGTCTTATATCAATAGCACATTGATGAGCTGTAATGCGGAGGCTGGGAACGTTGCTAGAATGCCTGTGACACCTGCGGTGAGCAGTTTCTAACGTGTTGATAACAACCAATTGGTCCCATTGGTCATGGTTTTTTTAGGATGCAAATTTGTACCCTATATACTACATGACCTCTCTTAGATCGTGTCTCACAAAAGTACAATAGAATACAGAAGGACTTGAAGAGCTTTTAGCATCAAAACGCAAAAATTGTTAGAGATTGTTTTTAAATCGAAGTTTTTTTTTCCATAGCAAGTATAACAATGTTTATACCAAATTTCAGTTAAATAGTAACTATTGATAAGAACTTTTTTAACTTTCTGGTGATTATATACTTTTTCAGTATAAACTTCATGCTTAATGAATTTGTTGTAGTCAAATGCTTTCAAAAAAAAATATCTCTGTCTAAAAGGTTTTCCTACGTTTTATCTATTATAAAAATAATTGAACAAAAAAACTCTATAGAAGCAGAAATAATATTTCAAAAAGGGGCCAACTTTTTTTAAAAATCATCCTGTATCTCGAAAGTTGACAACAAAAAAAACGAACATTATTATCTCATTTTCGAAAGTTTTATTTTTCATTTCTCGACGTACGTATCTAAATCCCATCTGTTGCATTGCATTAATCTCAGTAAAAGAAATTGCTCATTATTCATTCCGCCTTGTTCCACATGAATGCTATACATCGTATCGCATTAAAAAATATTCGAGATAAAAACGTCATGACATTCATCGTCATCATCATCTCAAATTTCATTGAGTAACAAAAAGCAAAAAGAAAATTTTGTTCTTAAATGACTAATAATAAACATGTTGTTTATTATTTTTCTTTTACCTGAAGAGCAATAATATCAGCTGAATATGAACGTAATTCTTCAAGAATTTGTTTTCGTCTATAATCCCATTTTAATGCCCATGATGGACAATAACCATAAACATGTCTTGTTGCATATTTATCGCAAAGTATATTATAATTCATTATTGTAAATATAGCTGTTGGTTGTGTTGTATTCGGTGATGAGAGACGAAGCCATGATCGTGTTGGTGGTGGTTGAATAGCTGCAAAAAGAAAAAGATAAATAAATAAATTTTCAAAATCTTCTAATTTAAAATAAAATAAATAAAAGGGGGACAAAAGATCGCCATGAGTTAGTTCTTATTTGCTCACACTCTTCTCGATTGAACAATTGTAAATGATAAAAATATAAATAATAATAATAATAATATATTTGAAGCCATGATATATAATAAAAATCATAATAAAATGGTAAAATTGTACGATTATGGTGGTATTCAATTGTATAATTTATATTTTGTCCTGTTAAATCAATACTAAATTTAATTAATGAATTATTTAAATTTTGTTTACGATTTTTTGTACGATAATTAATTTTTATACGTTTTGTTTGATAATTTTCATATGAAGTTTTTTTTAAATAACGTCTATAACGTTTACGATTTATAGAATTTTCTTTTTCACATGGACATAATATTATATGATTAGATTCAAAAGATGATAATGATGATGATGATGATTTACGACGAATTTGTGTAGTTGGACTATTATTAATAATTGAAAATGAAAATGATGGTTGATTGTCATTATTTATTAAAATTGGAGATAATTGTTGTCCTGGATCCGTACTACTACTACTACTACTACGAGTACCATAACCAGATGTTGTAGATTGATAGCTGCTGTCACTAGAAAAAATTAAATATAGAATTAATCGAAGTCCTCAAAAAGGAATTTTCATAATATAATAGAAATTTTATCGAAGAAGAATATCACGTTGTTTTTTCTTTAATTAATTATTCAGAAAAAAAGTTATTCTTCTTTCATGAAAAAAAAAAAAGAAAATAGATCAATGAGTGAAAACTTATTATTTACCTTGATATTAATTCTTCATGATGATGAGAATAGAAAGTAGGTGAACGTGGATTTAATGATGTCCTGAGTAATTTATCATTATTAACTAAGAAATTAGTTTCAACATCGAATGAAATTTGAAAGACTTTAGTATTAGAAATATTGTCATTTAATCTTCGTTTCGTTGATCGATATGAAGATGCTGTTGCTGTAGAACATTCATTAGTATACGATGAAAATATGTGTTTACATGAAACAATAGCACGACGTGGTTCAGTAAGTGAACACATGTTATAATGACATTTTCGAATGTGTCATACTAAGAAAAGAAAAACGAGAAATATATAGATGAATGATCTGGAAAATAACCGATTTGTTCTTGGCTTATTTTTTTTTTTGGCTTTTCTGGTTCTATTACAAGAGATAGGTCAATTATTTCACTAACTCTCATTACTCTAGTCTCATTGTGATCATCATTATGTTTATCGTGAACAAAGAATAAGGGGATTATGAAGGTCGAGAGAGGGAAAGAGAAAAATGAAAAACAAAAAAAGAAATTTTTTTTTTTCTTAATATTTGTTTTGGATGTATTTGATGTATTTCATTCTATCAGAAAACAGAAGTTTTCTATATGATAAATCGCTTATTGCAAGAGAAAAAACATGAATATGTCAAGAGTTAGGTTAATAGAAGTTCGATTATTCGCAATGTAGCGAAGGCATAGAAAAAAGAAACAAATAGCAGAAAAATAATCTCCTTTTTTTCTTTTCTGTTCAAAAACGTCGAGAAAGAAGAAAAACAACTAATGTCGCAGTTTTACCGTTTCTGGTTTATGCTCGTTCTGTTGCTTGCTGTTTCCTTTTTTTGTCGGAATAATACTGAGCATACCCACGCGTCTGTTCCGCCGACATCTTTGTATTAGGCAACTTTCAGAAAGAAAAAAACAACATCAGACAAAAACAATTCTCTAAACTCAAAAATAGTATAACATATCGCTTTTATAGCAATAAATAATAAAGCATATAAACAAAGAAATTTTGTCCGGTTCTTGACATAAATACCTAACGTAATTACTATATACAATAAATTATCCTTATAATTCTTCGTGTATGAGAAAAAAAAAACTCGCTCAAAGCTTTTTTCAAACATAAGATAAAGAACTATTTTTTTAATAATGTTATTTTCAAGAGCAAAAAACCAGGGATCGCTGCATTCTCTATGACTTTCTCTTAGAAGCTTGAAAGTACCGCAAAAAATGCCTTTCCTTTTGGTTTTTACGAGAAGGTCGTAGAAAATGCGGCTATCCCTCATTTTGTGCTCTTTAAAATAGTATCCTTAAAAACATATTGTTCTCATACCTGAAAACTACTGTGTCAAATCTTTTACAAAATCTTGATATAAAATGCATTATATAGAAAACTTTATTGATTGACTATTAAAACCACTGTCTGGATTTGAGCTAATTACTTATCATTATAGAAAAAAATACACTGCTGTTAAATTTTTTCCTGTCACTTTATATATATAAGTATAATAGTAAAATTCTCCTTGACAACAACGTCATAATAATGTAAGTTGTTAAATCAATCAAAACAAAAACGGTGAACAATAAAAATTGTTCATAAGTCATGATTTTCTTTCAAATACAATTAAACAAAATTAAATTATATTATATCAGATTTACTCACCTTGTTGAATTTGTTTGATGTAATGTTGCATAAAAAGTAATTAGTATAGTAATAATTGTACCTATTTCCTGAAAATGTTGTTGGAGACAACAAAAGAAACTCATGGCGATCGTGAATTGAGAAAAAAGAAAAGAAAGAAAAAAGCGAAAAAAAAATCTTTTTTTTCTATTATACCATTAAGAGATGATGGTAAACTATCAAGAAAATAAGTTAATAATTTTTGTAAACCATTTGGTTCAGTATAAATTGTAAATATTTCAGCTGGTAATGGATTCCCCATTAATCCTAAACTCATAATAGAATTTTGAATATCGAACAAAAATAAAAGAAAATTTTGCAGAATTTACCTAAGCTTTGTAAGCGAAATAATTTACCTAATTCATAAGGTAAATTTCGAATACTATTATTTGTTAAATTTAATTCACGTAATGATATAAGTTCACCTAAAAATATCGAAAAATCATGTTTAGTAAATTATGAGACCATCAAATTGTTCATAGCTATAAAAGTGCACTAGACAAGGAAACTATCCGAAATGATATCTTACATTTGAGATGATGAAACTAGAGTTATTATGTAGGACCTACTGAGACTAGAAGAATTCTTTTCCATGCGCAGGTCTTTTGAATATATGGCTGTTACACTGAATTTTTTACCTTTGGCATGATGTTTATAAAAAAAAAAATCAGACAAACAAATTTTGATCGTAATAATTTGTCTATTTACAAAAGACCATGATATTTTAGGAGATTCTAATGACTTTAAGAGCTGTCTATGGACAAAGCTTTAGGCTAAAATTCCTTATCCCATTCTTTTAAAAATAAATACCGTGCAACAGCGATATATTCAAAAGGGTAGTGCATGAAGAAAAATTCTTCTAGTTTCAACAGGTCCTACATAATGACTGGGATCTTATCTCAAACACGAAATATTATCTCTGATAGTTTCCTAATATGGAGATAAAAGTTTATGTAAAGCATCGTATGTTTTCATTTATGTCCCAAGTTTGTTATAATATTTTTAATTGAATATTCTATCAGTAGTGTGTTGTTGAGGCGTGGATAAGATATATATTATTAATCGAAATTGACTGCTAAGAAAGTCAATAGAATTTCGGACTAAAAGGAATCATATTTTAATTTATGTAGCCTCAATAGATTTCTTTTTTTTTCTGGAGAACAAAACAATTGAATGATAGTGAGAAATAAAAAACTGGCGATTTCATTGATTTCGAAATGTTTCCGAAGGATGAAATTCGAGAGTATATCATTCATTTTCGTCTTTGAATTCTCTACAAAATTATTGATATAAATAACATCCATCACTTTTCAAAGCAACATTTCGTTGAGTTTTTTGACAGCATACTTTCACTTTTTATTAAGAATACCTTTCGATATTGCTTTTCAAATTTGATGCAATGAGCGAATTCATCCTGAATCAGATTATCCAATGGATAATAATCAACTGATATATGTGGGGTTTCCCGTGAACTGTTGAAATGTCCTATAGTCATTCTCGACCAAAAGACATTAGATTTCGCTTAATTCAACCGAAATATTCTTTTAGATATGATAGCAAGGCTCTTGGAAAACTCTGAGCAAGGTTTAGAAGCTTACACATAACGACGATATGACAACGCCTGTTATCGCTATCTCCATCATTTCCAGCAGTGTCCAAGGACTGAGAAATATGAATTCCTAATCTGCCGATGAATTGTCAGTGACGCTGTGATAATTCCTAGGGGAAATCTGAATCGACCATTGGTTCCCTCACAATTTCATTATTCACGAAAGTCCTGATATTGCTTTTTTTAAAATAATTTGTGCACGGAACTATTGATTCTCACAATTTTGCAGGCGAAAGTGAGTGTAAGAACAAAAATTATCGTGAATATTCCATATTTGTACCTTTAGTATGCAAGGAATTGTAGGAGAACTGAGGAAGAATTCCTAATTCTCAGTCCTTGGACACCCCTCCAACCTAATCGTTCTTCATAATTTCTAATTTAAATATTTAATAAATTCGACAACTTTTTTTTCCACTATTTAAACATACCGATTTCTGATGGTAAATTTCTTAATTTATTATTCGATAAATCAAGTGTGACTAGATTTGTTAAACAAGCAATCTCAGATGGTAATCGTGTTAATTGATTATCATTTAAATATAAAACAGTTAATTGTGATAATGTCCATAAGATTGGTGATAAATTACGAACATTACCCGTAACTTCAAGTTCATTCCCTATATTCAAAAAATAAAATCTTGTTATTATTATTTTTTTTTCAGATTAAATTAATTAAATATTTTTTACATTCACATTTTTTTGTATCTGTTGTTGATAATGAAGATTTTTGTTGATGATCATTTTGTATTGATAATTGAGATTGATACGTATAAAAACTCGACGATTCAACTGATTGATAATAATATTGTTGAGATGGATGAATACGTCGAGAATATGCTGTTGTTTCATCAACAGATAATGAAGAATGCTAAAATATTTTCAAAAGAAAATTTTCTTCTATTAGTTTAGATAGTTTAATCACATAATTTAAACTGGCACCAGGCATTTGATTTGTTGAAACAAAAACATACAATTCTAAAGAGAAAATAGAAATAATGTTTCGACGTGTCGTATGGTGACGATGATCACTGGTCTTAGGCAGAGCGCTACACTAGTCGAGACATATATGATAAACTTAACTTGATCTTATACAAGCAGATTTTAACAATATTCTAGTCGATATATCACATAGAAATTTTAGAAAATCTTTCAGTAGCTTTTGAGATTGTCTATGGATTATTCTTTAAGCTTGTTCATTTTCCTAAAATTAATCGGCACTAAGATAAATGTAGAGAAAGATACCTTGAGGTTGTAATGTCCGTTTGTTCAATTAAACTTTCTTATTATTGTATAAAAAAGCACTTATATAAATAAATAATCATTTTTAGAGTTATTGAACTTTTCATCCTTCTTCTACACATAAAAATTTAAAACCCTGCACTACAGTCTAAACATATCCTAACAAATGTCATGCAATTTGAATGTACATAACCTAAGATCGATTTTTGAATCACAGATAGAGCAACTAAAATGAGAAGACATGTGTTCGAGAAAAACTTTTTTTCATCGGATCCACTTACGACCCTCGTCCAACGTTGTTTGATTGAGCTGAAATTTTGATTATAGATAGTTGGAAGTATTCTTCAGAAGTGAAAATTGTCTGTTTTTATTTATGACCTGTTTACCCAGATTTATAGTCCTGAATGCCAGCATCCCGATTTTAGATCTGAATTTTTACGGCATTTCTTCTTATTTTAGGTACTCTATATGTAGTGAAAACTTCATACAAATCGATTGTATTTTTTTCGAGAATCAGAAATGGTCAAAAAGAGGCCGAGTTCGAATATCTCAACAAAATAATTTAGAAAAAAATTTAGTTCTGTCATATGCAATGTTTTTGAAATACAAACTTTGTTTTAGCAACAACTGACTTCAATCATCTATATTTCATCCCAAATGATTTATGTATCCTATCAAAAAAAAAATCAACAAAAAATTCTGCGGTACTTACCATTCTAAAAACATCAATTATACTCAACAAGAGGAACATTAACTAGATATCCTCATTTTCTAAAAGGAGAAAAACATCATTGCTATCATACTAATGTCATTATTTTACTGGTGTATCTATTAAACAGAACATTCATATGACCTTATATAGATATTTGATACATGAGAATAATATCAAATTATAAAGGATAAAATTTTTAATGTAAATAAAAAAAAAAAAAGAAATTCAAAATTTTTTTTCTTTATACATACCGAAAAGATAAATCGCAACAGTCAATTATAAAAATAAAACTTCAACAAAATATAATCTAGAATATAAAAGAAAAAGACAATATTTTCTTATTCATTTATTTGTTGTTTCTGTAAATATAAATTAAAGATTATAGACAAAAGTATAATATAGCATTGAGAATGATTGAATTTTCGATATTAATACTTGGGATAAGTACCATCTGCTAGTTTTCAATGTCACCTTACGATCAAGTTTTATTTCATGTTAAGACAAATTCTACTGATTTATTTTATGATCACTCTTACATGTGTACTCCTTAATAAATAGACCAAAAGAAAAACATTCACGAGTCATCTAGTACAGAAAAATAAGCAATCTCACAGGTTACAAAAAAAAAGAGTTTTGTCTTCTTCTATTAAAATAGATTGCATAAAGAGCATCACGATTGACTAAAGTGTTAATTTTTAGAGTGTAAAAGCACCTATAAAAAGACCGTTCTCTCAACATCATATTTCAATTCTCAAAAAACATACATAAGATATGCCATCTTAGTAGCTTTTAAATGAAATAAAGCTAAAATTCGAATTCTGATCTATCTTAAAAAAAAATAATACAAAAACGTAATTAAATCATTTACCTGTTCGTAAAAAGTTTTTCTTTTTATTCTTGAATTAAAATATATATTATTTTTCCCACTGAATT